CCCCCCCCCCCCTGCCTTAAAACAAAAGTGAGACATAGGGAAGGCATCTTTTCAGGTCTCTTTCCTCAGCGTGGCTCCAACTCACATAGCCAGGGGCCTCAGCTGGCCATCGACGTCCCAGCCCACCCGGTCAGCTCATTCAGACCCCACATCTAGACACTTTCTAATCACTCTCTGGGACAAGCATCGGTATGCTAGCCAATGTCTTCTTTCAGCGGGGTGCGAGCCTGGTCAGGACACAAACTCTGTCACAGGCACAGGGATTTCCAAGTGTCTGCTGTTCACAGTGTGGTCTAGAAGGATCTACAACAGCGGTTCTCAACCTGGGGTTTGCAAACAGGGGTTGCCTAAGATCATCAGAAAACAGATACACAATAGCAGAAAAATTACAGTTATGAAGTGGCAACGAAAATAATCTCATGGTGGGGGTCACCACAGCCTGAGGAACTGTAATAAAGGGCCGAAGCATTAGGGAGGTTGAGAACCACTGATGTGGGGGGCCAGATGGCTGGCACTGTCCTCTTGTTAGTCTGAGTGGCATTTGTGAAAGCCGGGGAGGCATAGGCTGGTGGAAGCTCCATTGACCAGCTGTTTATATTATCTGGGGTCCTGGCCCCCACATTGCTTCCTTCTCTTCATGACCACCCTGTGACCCCAGCTGGCTTCAGTGAGGGAGTCCATTACCAGATATTGTAGAGATCTCAGAACCCTGACCCCTAGCCTCCTCCAGTCCAGGGCCTTGGGGGATCTGGGCCAGCCTGAAGTCATGGGCTGGCCCCTGTTACTGACACCTCTGTGATTGCTACAGTGAGTAGAATGGCATGAATGTCTCTACAGTATGGCAATATTAGAGGAAAGCCACCAGTCTTTGTACCAGGACAAGACAGGAACACGGACATCCTTGGCCCAATAGCTTTCCATATGTCATTTCACCCATGTGGAGGCAGGGTGAGAAAATAATGGTGACAACCTGAAGACGAGGAACAGGGACAGTAGAGATCTGTTTTGCTCTCTACGAGCTGAGCATCCCCTGCTGTGCAGCCCTGTCTGGTCTAACATCTTATTAGTGATTGGTGCTTGTGGTTGTTAAGCTTTACCTGCATGTGCAGGCTCACCCAGCAAATCACCAGAGCTCACAGAAGGATGGGGATGCTCTCCTCTTCTAGGCAACAAGGATGATGGCCAGAGAGTTTCAGTGACTTGCCCAAGGCCACACAGCTCCTCAGTGGAAAGAGTATCTGACTCCAGAGCGTATCCCCACAAACAATGTACAATCATGCCTCAGTTTCCTCATTTGTGAAAGATACGAGGGGAAACAACTTTGGAACCCCTCCCCCCACCAAGATGCTGGGATGATACTCTGTAACTCCCGGGCACCTTGAGGAAACAAAGAGAGGATTCTGCAATCTAGAAGAGGCCAAATCTAGACTAAGGTCAAGGGCAGAATAGCTCACTCTGGAATGGAGGTGCAGAGTAAGCCTTCAGCAGAAGGGGCTAGCTGTACACTAGATTGTAAGGTGATGGTTGGAGTCAGGCAAAGCTAGCGGGGTCACTGACCATCTGTGCAGTCACGCTCAAGCTACTTAACCTCTCTGAGCCAGAGTTCCTCTGTGAAAATGAGGATTATGCTACCAACATATTTTGGGGGGAGGGTTGTTTTTAAAAATTAATATATGCAATCGTTTTTTTAAAAATTAAGTAACATATGCAATCGTAAAGATGAAAGAATGTATAAAGCAGTTGGCATGTTGGCAACAGAGTTGTTCATAATAGCAGGAAGTGTTTGTAACATAGTTTGTTCTCTAACAGAAAGTGTCTTAGTTCCATTGGCAAGAAACAGCCAAGAAAAGCTAGCTTCAGATGAAAGCAGCAATGGTCTCGGGGAAAGTGGTGTATGTCTGTCATCTCAGGAGGCTGAGGCAGGAGGATTGGAAGCTAGAGGCTAGCCTGGGCTACAGAGGGAGACCCTGTCGTGAAACATAACAAACAAGCCAAACCCAAACAAAACCTAGTGTGACGTTGCAAGCCAGCTCATGTGAGGTCAAACCCACAGGACGGTGGGTGAGGAGTGGCCAGTCTGCCGTCCAGAAGCAGGTGGGGTGCCTGGGGACAGGTGAAACACATCCAACCAGGTCAGGATGAAGGTCAAAGATCACATTATACATGGCCCAGCTTGGCACCCACAGAGTGGTTTGTGTTCCTCGCTTTCTGATTGCCAGGTTCTATTCTGGTGCCCGGATTCCTCATGAAGGACGGGCATGCCCCGTGCTATTGGCCAGGGCTGGTTGTCCTCCAGCTGTGCCTCCTGCCAGATAATGCCCTGGGACTCAGGCAGAGGAGCCAGTGTCTTGCAGGTTCTGATGGGCTGAGTTTGAGGACAGGGCAATTTTTCACCCAGAGCCATGCACTGTTGTCCAGTTCTCAAACGGAGTTCTGAGGGAGACATCCCCACCCACTGACGTCACTGTCCTGCTCTAGCTGGCAGCTTGAAGCATCACAACTCTTCTAACTTGCTTGGGAACGTAAGTCTAACCGAAGAGCAGATGCTCCAAAGCTTTCGTTGGTTTGCTTCCCATTGTCAGGGATGGAACCCCAAACCTTGCCTGTGCTCTGCTACTGAGCCATAACCTGAGTCCCGAGAATGTGCTAGAGGAAGGGGCATGCCACTATCCCCTGAGCAGATGACTCAAAACTGCACCATAACACAGTGGTTAGCACAGAGTCACCGGATTTGAGCCTCATCCCATCCTTCACTTCTTGTGTGACTTTGGGTAAATTCTGAAACCACTCTGAACCTGTTTCCTCTGCTGTTGAATGAAGGTGATTGAAATATCTGCCCCCCCCTCCCAGACTGTACAGGAATCATGGTTTACAGTGACTGTAACAGTGAGTGACCTGGTCTGCTCAGCAGAAATCCGAGCCGTCATTATCACAATTATGGTTCATTGGCTTTGAAGACATGAAGTTCATTTTACCCTTTCTGTCCCCACCTCCTCTCCTAGTGTACACTCCTTGAGTTGATAATGTACATGTTTGCTTTGTCAGAGTTTACACAAAGCTGGCCAGAGAAAAGAAATGGTGTTGGCTGAGGGTGGTGATTAAACATTCACTAAGTGAACCCATTAGACAATTCAGCTATGGATAAACAAAGATCAGCCTTAATATGATAACACCAATCTCCAAGGGTTCTCAGAGCACTGATAAGCATCCCCTTAGTTACAGGGAGGAAGGAGTGGAGTTAAGTTGGGCACTCAGGAATCCTCCCCCATGGCCTCAGATGAACTTACCTGGCAGTGTCTTCACTCGGCACACATAGGGAGCACTCTCCTTGGACCACATTGGAGCCAAAATTGTGATAGCCCCAATGAACTCTGTGTCAGGAGTTAGGCCAAGGAACTCATATTCTCGCTGTTTGCCTTCAAGGTGCTGAAATGGACAGAGAACCCAGAGTGACTGCACACTGTGACTGTACACACACACACACACACACACACACACACACAGAGAGAGAGAGAGAGAGAGAGAGAGAGAGAGAGAGACTCAAACACACACACACACACACAGACACACACACATACACTACACACACAGACACACAGATACAGACACACACAGACACAGACAGACAGACACACACGCCACACACACACAGACACACAGATACAGACACAGACAGACACACATACTACACACACACACCACACATAGACACAGACAGACAGTCAGACAGTCAGATAGACAGACAGACAGACACACACACACACACACACATACACACCACACACAGACACAGACAGACACACACGCCACACACACACAGACACACAGATACAGACAGACACACACACCATACACATGTTCACCAACACGCCACTCTTCATTCCTCTTCCTAACATTAAGATGGCCCCATCAGCTAGCCTGGCCCGGCAGTTCAGCTGGTGGCTCTTCATTCTGCTCCCCCATCTTCTTTTAATTCAGCCTTCAAGCTCCTTGAACCTTTCGAATAGCACCTGGCCTGTCACATTGTGACAGCCCACAGATACCGGCTGTTGCGGTGACAGCATGAGTGCCACCACCATCTCTGCCTCTCCCCTGCCTTCTCCATTATCAACCCTGCCCCCACTCTCATGTTCCTCCACCCTTCTGCTCCTTCTGCCCTGCTGCCCCCAGCCTGGGCTCTGCAGTGTCCCCTGGCTGGTCACTCATCTCTGGCTTCAGATCCTTGGCTGCTTGGCCCATATTCACAAGGCATCATCCCAGTCAAATCCCATCTCCAGCCCCCCTGGCTCAAGGCTCTGTGGATGCAGGGCCCTGGGCCTCTGGTGAACCCCTGACTTGAGTTAGCTGGGGTTCATTTCCATCAGCTGTCCTGTTGTGGTGACAACTTGTGGTTTTCCTTCCCCAGGTTTCCCTTACCTTAGATCCCTCCGACTTGCCTGCCCTGTGACACTCTTGGGGGGCTCCTGTTACACTGTGGCTAGGTCACCTGTTTTAGCCCCTTGGCACCACCCATGTAGGATGAACTATTTTTCACCCATCTTTATCTCTCTCTGATCACTTAATGATCTTGTCTGGACCTGTGGCCTCCCTGATCGCTGATGTGTGACTCTGAAGGGTCTCTGATGGACAAAACAAGCCCCTTCTGGGTGGCAGCAGGCAGGCACCCCCAGACCACATAGCCCCAGACCCATCCCCACGCCTGCTCCCTGTTCTCAAGTTGTCTTTATAACATCTTATCCTCATTTTGGAGACCCAAACTTAACTCATCCTCTGTGGCTAACATCTTCCCTTAAAGCAGCAGGACTGGTTTGTTTGTTTGTTTCTCTTTGCACTTGAGCTTTCTCTTTTCTGGACACATGAGACGAAAGTTTAAGGCCATGTGCTGGTTGATGGGCACGGGGATGCTTTCATGAAGTGTGGGGGGGATAGGTAGATATATTTCATAAATTACTCTTGTAGAGCTCAAACAGCCGACCCTGAAGACATTAAATATTCTGTGGTCCAGGGCCAGGGCAGTCACTACACTTTCCCTGTCTCCGTCTTGGCTTTGCCTGTGCCTGTCACCCTCTGACTCCACCTTGCTCTCTTCGGTTCTTGTCTGATCACTTTTCACCCTATCTAGGGATATATACCATTTTATGGGATGGACTGTCCCCCAAAAAACAAATATTAACATGTCTATGACAGCTTGGTCACACATAGGCTCATGTCTGGACTGCTTGGTCCCCATTATTTTGAGAGGTTCTGGTAACTTCAGGAGACAAGATCTGGCTAGAGGAAGTAGGTCAAGGGTCAAGGGGTGGATCCTTGGAGATGCTGTGTCTCTGACCCCTTCCTGTCCCTCACTCCTGCTTTCATTTTTATTTTATTTAAATTAGGTGTGTGTGTGTGTGTGTGTGTGTGTGTGTGTGTGTGTGTGTTTTCGCTCGCGCACATACACACACACGAGCAGGACCTTTGGTGGGCCACCTGACTTGGGTGCTGGGAACCAAACTTCAGACCCCTGCAAGGGCAGTGCACACTCTTAACCCCTGAGCCATCTCTCCAGCCCTGCTCCTCCCCTGCAATCCCCTGCCCTCCCTCTCTCTGCTTTCTATTTCCTGTGTATAAAAATCCTTCTCTGACATATGTTCCTGCCACCATGAAATCTACCCAAGTGTATGGTCCCAGCAACCACAGATGGAGTCCCCTGGTGCTGTGAGCCCAAGAACGAATTCTTCCCTTTAAGTTCTCCAGCCAGGTACTTTGACTTGGCGATGAAAAGCGATTAAATTAACCCTCTAAAGGAGGGAGTGCTGGGAGATGAGGGAGGAATAGCAGCAACCAAAGTTTTTAAATGTCTTTTATCCTGAAGGTAGATCCCAACCTACGCTTTGTGGGATTGTGGGGAACACTCTGTGGAGGAGGCCCAGTATCTTTATATGAACTCAGCTATACCCCTGGAGGCCTTCAAACACACACTACATGTGTGAGGTAGCCTCCATGCCTAAATAAGATACACACTGCATGCTGGAAACAGCCTCCAAGCCTAAATAAGACTAAAAGACTGAATGGAGGTGTAAGAGCATTAAGTGCAGCCACATTAATGCAAAAACACCACAGAAAGTTGAGTATGGCGGCAGTCAGGAGGTGGAGATAGGAGGATTACTGCCAGTTTGAGGGCAACCGTAGTTACACAATAATAAGTTCCAGGGTAGCTTGGGCTACAGTGGGAAATTTTGTTGCAAACAAACAAACAAAATCCACCCCCCACAAAAGAACAAAGACTAATTTACACCCTTTGGTGGTTATAACACAAGCCAGAGTCACTTCAACTTGGCAGTCATAATATTCAGGCTATATTACAAAACGGACAAGGGAAGCAAAGATTGTGACCCCCAACATGACTAGAATGTTGGGCTTAACATACAAGAATTTTGAATCAGCTATAAAATTGTGTTCAAGCAAGTAAAAGAAAATATGTTCATAACGAATAAGTGAGGGGCAGGTGAGATGGCTCAGCAGATAAAGGGGCTTGTTGCCAAGCCTGGGGATCTGAGTTCAATTCCCAGGACCTACACGGAGGAAGGAGAGACCAACTTCTGACCTCCATACTTGTGCCATGCACACCTTTACACATGTACAAAATGCAGCAAATAAATGAATCTCATTGCTTAATTACTCTCATTGGTTAATAAAAAGCTGACAGGCAGGTAGTGGGACAGGAAGTTAGGTGGGAAAGCCAAACTGAGAATGATGGGAAGAAGGAGGGCAGAGTCAGGAGAGACGTCAGCCAGCCACCCAGGGAGGACAGGTAAAGCCACGGACCACGTGACAATACAGAGATGAATAGAAACAGGTTAATTTAGATGTAAGACTTAGCTAGTAATAAGACTAAGCTATCGGCTGAGCATTTATAAATAATATAAGCCTCTGTGTGGTAATTTGGGAAGCGGTGGTCAGGACAGGAAACATCCATCCATATCAGTAACATATAGTAAATATAAATATTGGGAACTTCAGAACTGAACAACACAATATCTGATTTAAAAAGAATGCACAATGCCCCTTAACAATGGTTTGTAAAGGAGAGAAGGCAGAACCCTGAAGACAAGTTGATTGGATGAATTGCAGTAAATGGGAGGGACAGTGATGCCCCTCTATGGTGCGCTCAGACCCCCTGGACTCTGTACCTTAAAGGGGTGACTTTAGGTCTGGGGGTGTGGCCCAGGGTTAAGGTGCCCACCTAACACTGGCAAGGGTCTGAATTTTATTCCACACATTACAAAAATGGAAAGAAAAGAATGAATTTTTATGGCATGTGAGTTGCCTCTCAGTGAAAAAGGCTTGTGAGGCAGCTCAGTGGGCTTGCCGATAAGGCTGATGACCTGAGTTCAAACCCGAGAGGTAAAAGGAGAGAATCAGCTCCTACAAGATACATGTGCTATGACACATGAATGCCCTGACATGTGCACACATGTATGAAATAAGCCTCAAAGGGAATATTCTATCAGAACATTGTCTTCAAGATGCATTTTAAATATAAAGACACAGGCTAAAGATAAATGGTTATAGAAAGACAAGAGGCTAGATAGATAGCCCCAACATTAAAGGCTAAGGATTACAACCAAAACTCCAAGAGTGTGGTTCCCAGTACCCATGTCAGAGCCCATCTCTCAGCTTTTCTGGGGCCTGGAGAGACGGCTCAGTGGTTGAGAGCCCTCACTGATCCTGCAGAGGAGCCAGGCTCAGTCCTCAGCACCCATATAATAGCTTACAACCATCCATAACTCCAGTTCCAGGGCATCTGATGCCTTCTTCTGACCTCTAGGGGCACCAAGCATACATGTGATACACAGACATATGTGCAGTCAAAACACTCACAGACATTACATAAATCTTTAAATGTATGTTTATGTATATACCATATCCACTATAAGGAGACTGGAGTGGCAATATTTGTGTCAGATAAAGTGGACCTCAACAGGAGACAACAAGGGGAATTCCATCATGATTAGAGGCCAACTTATCAGGAAGATGTGATAGTCATGCAATCGTGTCTTTAATAAGGTTTTCAAAATGCATGACAGAAAAATGCACAGAACTAAGGGGAAATAAACTCATACGCCTACCTGAAGAGATCAGTACTCTCATTAGCTGAAAGAACAACACAGCCCCTCCCCCCATGTCAGAAAAGATACGGATGGGAGAGCTCCATTAGCCTCCACTATCTAGTTGGTGTTTGGAGAACCACACTACCCTACACCTCTGAACACACTTACTCTTGTCCGAAGCCAAGCAGATGGCAGGTCATAAAATAAACCTTCATGAGTTTAAAAAGCCTAATTCAGATAGAGCAGGCTCAAGGACAACAGGCCAAATCAAATCAGCAATCAGGAATCATAAAATCTTTAGTCCAACCCAAATATTTATCAGAAGGAGCTGCTTTGATGAGGTAATCTCTAGCTGTTCCTATGACAACCATAGAATTTTCCTCTACCATCTGCACCCCACAGTCCCAACAGGCTCCTCAAGCTTGTCTCCCACAGTCCCTCCACACAGGAGGTTCTCAAGCTTCAAGACAAGGGAGGAGTCCCCTGTGGGATGGCCACTACAATTCAGGTTTCAGACAAGCAGCTTCGAACATAGGAGCAGACTGGGAGCGGCCCCTGAAGGTTAATCTCATCAGCTTTATTGAATTGAGAGCCACTTAGGAGACCATGAGGCTGTGTCTGGATGTGTCTAAGAAGAAGGATTGTCCAGGTTCTGACCTAATGAATGGATCACTCCTTTGATGGACTTGTAATTTGATGGCTTCACTAGGAAATGGTGAGAGGTAGGAAGTGATCTTCTGGAGGACAAAGGTCACTGGATATGTGTCCCTGACACCCGAGTCGTGTCCTGGCCTCTTCCTGTGTCCCCTGCTTCAGTGCTCTGCATTGCTCTACTCTGCCACGCCCCTCCCGCCCTGCCAGCTGATACCTTTGAGACTCCTTTTGTTCCTTAAGTTATTTCTGCTAAGGCCCCCAGGAGTTGCGCTTTGAGCAAGTAAGGTTCTGACATCACTGGTCCAGGGCATGTGCAGGGAAAACTGCCTCGTATGGCTTCACGCTCCAGCCAGAGTGGCCAACTTTGCACTTTTGAAAAAACATTGTACATGGTCCTGCTTCTCTTTCTGATCATGGAGCCACAACAAATGGAGGCCCTCCAGGGTAAGTGCAGGCTCTGTTGGCATCTATGAAGGCGCTGACCTCTGTCCAGTTAGTGGCTTAACCTCTCTGAGTCTGTGTCTTCTCATCTCAAAGATGGAGACACTAGGTCCCTCTCACGGAGCTGTGGGATCATCATGAAGATAAGTGACATCCTTTCATGCCTCAGAAAGTGGCGTGGACACCCCTGAGTTTTCCAGTCTCTTAGGTCTCGCTGAGCTGACATGCAGCCTTGCCTATTCCAATTCTTGTTTCAACCTCTCCCTCACCCACTAAGTTATTCACTCTTTGAGGGATTTTTTTTTTTTTTTTCAGAACTGCAGAGGAGGAAATAAAGATTCACCCAGCTGAGTCATGAATTTATGGTACACACTGGGGAGGGCACAAGATCAGATCATTTGCATATTGTCTGCCAGTTGTCACTTTGACCTTTTGTTAGGACCCATCTTAAGCCACTCCCTGCACACAGTTTCCCCAAACATTTCCAGGCTGACTCCAGGATTTTAATTTCCTGTCTCTCTCTTTTTTAGACACAGTCCCACACGGACCAGGGTGGTGTCAAATTTGCTGCCCGAGAATGGTCCTGAACTCCTGACTCTCCTGCCTCTACCTCTGATCTGGGTATGATTATAAGCATACACCACCATGCTTCGTTTCTGTGGTTTTGAGAACCAAATCCAGAGCTTTGCACATGCTAGGCAAGGACTCTCAAAGCTATAGCTGCTGTCCTGACACCAACATTTTCTAAAGAGAATGACTGGGAGGTGGTGGCCCACACCTTTAATCCCAGCATTTGGTAGGCAAAGACAGGCCTGGACTCCATAGTGAGTTCCAGGACAGCCAGGGCTACACAGAGAAACTCTGTCTCGAAAATCAAAAGAGAGAGAGAACAACTGGGGATATTAATAGAAATACATTGTTCTCTGGGATGTTGCAGGCTATTAGGCAAAAACAAGCAAACGAACAAACAATAAAGCTTTCTGGACCAGGTCCAGTGACACACGCCTGTAATACTAGTGCTGATGCAGGAGGATTGCTATGAGTTTTTTAGAGAGTTCCAGACCATCTTGGATTACAGAGTAACATTCTACCACAAACAAACAAACACCAACCAATGTACCCAACAAACAAAAGGAATCTGGTCCAATAAATATGAAAAGTTTGCATGGTACAAAATCAAAGCCCCGGCTCTGGAGGTCTTGTCAAATCCTTGAGGGTGCTACCTGATCCTACAGAGGGAGATGGTGCCTCAGACTCCACTAGAATTCTAGGAGCCCTACAAGGACAATTTTTGGGAAGTGCAGTTTTATATAATGCATCACTTTTGCTGCAAGCAGCCCAATATTCTTGGGAGAGAAGGGGGCTCTCAAGAAGGCATGGGCTATGACCTATATTTACCATTTGGTAGGTGTGGTTGACTCGGAGTTCTAAGCGGTAGAACAGGTCACGGAAAATCTCCTCCAGGGTTAGCTGGTGGCCATTTTCTGAGCGGATAGGTGTGAGCGTGGGGTGAATCAGCATCTGAATGGACCTCACTTTGGGGATACAGGTCACATCCGGTGGTTTGATGGTAGCTAGAATCGGGGAGAGAGAAAAGCCCAGAATGATTTTCGGAGCAGCAACTAACCCAACATGTGAGAAGAGGCTTTTGGGTGGCTGGCGTCCAAAAGGCTGTTCAGGGGTGACAAAGAGTGGATGGCAGGTACCCAGGAGGGAAGGGCTGTAGCCCTGAGTGGCGATGCCCTTAGTTCTGCCTCGATTCACCCTAGCCTTGGCATCCCCAGTGTGAGTGTGCCTGGAATACTCCTTAGTCTGCTGCAATGACAGCTTTGGGGCTATCAATGGCTTATGAATTCAGACAGAGTGTAAATAATACCAGGCCCAATGCTATCGCTTCTGCTCCCAAGACTCTGCTATCTCAAGATGGAATTTTCCAAATGACCTTCACTGTTTCACAATACCTTAAAAAAAACCAAAACTGTGTGCGTGCGTGCGTGTATACGTGTGTGTGTGTGTGTGTGTGTGTGTGTGTGTGTGTGTATGCATGTGGAAGCCAGAGGAGGATATTGGGTTTATTCTATGTGTGTGTGTGTTGCCCATATGTCTGCATGTGCAATACACGTGTACCTGGTGCCCAAGGAGGTTGGAACTGAGTTCAGATGGTTGTCAGCTGCCATGTGGGTGCTTGGAATTGAACCTGGGTCCTCTGCAAGAGCACCAAGTGCTCTTAATTGCTGAGCTAGCTTGCCAGCCAGAATGTTGGGTGTCTTAAGTTAGGAACCCTCTCTCACTGAACTGGAAGTTCTTCATTTCAGCGAGGCTGGCTTGGCCCCTGAGCTCCTAGGATCTACCTGTCTCCGCACTGCAGCGATGGGGTCACAGGCAAGTACAACCATGCCTGGCTATTTTTAATTTTACATTTTTACATGGGTGCTGGCAATTCGAACTCAAGCCTTCACTGTTACATGGCAAGAGCTGGCTGAGCCATGTCTCCAGCCCCTGCATACCTTTTTAATAATATGATGATTGCTATGGCTCTTTTATCCATGACAATGAGAGCATACAGAAATCTTTCATCCAATTTCAGGAGTTCGTGAATCTATTTTGCACAAGTCTAATGGTTTGTTGTCCTCCAAGGTTTAGACCATCGTAACCAAAGAATGTTTACTCCAATGAAGTTGAAATGCAGAGCTACAGCTGGCACGAGGGCTCAGTGGGTAAAGATGCTTGCCACCAAGCCTGATGATTTGAGTCCAGTCCCTGGAAACCATGTGACAGAATGAAAGAACAAACTCCCGAAAGCTGTCCTCTGACCTAAACGCACACAGACACATGTGCACACACAAATAAATCATAAATGTAAAGAAGAAATCTTAAAAAAGAAAGAAGAAAAATGGAAACTAATGTCCCCCAAAAGGAAAGGGAATTAGGGTTCCACTGTTGAATGGGTTGTTTCATAGCTATGGGAATTCAGGTTGAGGAAACTGTTTCAGAGAACGGGCAAAGTTCGTGACACCGTTATATGGACAAATGGAGTTCCAAAACTAGAATGTGACACTAGATAAAGAGGCTGAGGCAGAATCCCGCCCATCATATTGGCCCATGTGCCTGTCTGTGGGGCATTTTCTTGATTGCAACTGATGTAGGAGGGTCCAGCCCACTGTGGCTGGTGTTATCCCTAGGCAGGCAGGCAGGCCTGGGCTGCATCAGAAAATGAGCTGCATGTGACCCTATGAGCAAGTCAGAAGGCACATTTCCTTCATGGTTCCTGCCTTGGGCTCCTGCCTTGGGAGTGTCCCTCAATGATGAGCTGTGATCTGGATATGCGAGCCTTAGATAAGCCCTTGCCTCCCTTTTGGTTGATGTTTATCACAGCAACAGAAAGCAAACTAGGACACTACTATTTTGAGACTAGCACGGGCAACAAAGTGGTATCCAAGCCAGGTAGCACTACAGACTAAGAGCCTGTATCAAAACACAGGGAGTTGTGACTTCAAAAGACAATCGACGTCACCACATGCTTAGTGTGTGTATAGGGCTTGGCACTGGTATTAATTAATTAATTAATTAACTAATTAATTAATACATCCAGTGGTTATATATGGAGCCTCTTCTATGTACCAGGCACTCTGCTAATGGCTTGGAACACAGTGGGACCCACAGGCTGTCCTGGAGCTCGTGTCTTTGTGGGGAAGGCTGAGAACACACATATAAGCTAACACAGTCTTTGCCAGCTGTGACCTGAGCTGTGACAACATGAACAGTGAGTGGTAGATCTCTCTGTGTCTGTGGGGATTGGTTCTGGATTGCCTCGCCAATGCTCAATTCCACAGTTTTTAGTCCACTGTGTAGGTAGAGTGGCCCAGTATTGTGCTCAACCTAAACACACCCCCTGTATTCTGTTAACAGACAATGCTAAATACTGTGTAAGTGTTATGTAAACAGTTGTGTATCGCCCAGAGAGCAAGAGCAGGAGGAATGTGGACAGACTCTATGCAGATTCAATATTTTTCATTTGCATTTGGTTGAATCAGAGGACCACTGGGATAGAGAATAAATAAAGAACAAATTACAGATCTCAGCTGGCTTTGACTGGCGGAGATCTGGTGGTCAGGGCTGGAGGCCTGGACTCTCTTTGGAGTCTATATTGAGCTAAGCCCTCAGACCTGGGGAGCAGTGTAGGCACTGTGGCAGGGGTCAGCTGAGAATGGGACCCACTGAATACAGAGTGTTTCACTCAAGGACTGGGCTAAGCAGGACTGGAAGGGCCAAGGGAGGAATCTTATCTAAGGCTCACCAGCACAAAAAGAGATGGCAGGCTTTATAACCTGAGAGGATGGGCAAGGGGTACCAGGAGAGTGGAGAAATGAGTTAGGAGCTCCAGCTGTGGTGGTGGGGGGCCTCCTATAACCTAGGAAGTTCTGAGTAGAGGTAGAGAAAAAAAAACAACCCCCTGGGGTGTGCCCTGGCCTGGGAATACCTTCCCTGAAAGTCACATGCCCTAGTGTAAAGTCTTGCTGGGTCCACTCCAGAGATCTGAGAACTTTCCCTTCACCCGAAATTCACATACCATCCTCTCCCCTCACCCCAGATGGGCAGCCCAGCCTCTCCACCACCCCAGATGTGCCTTTCCCCTTCCTGAAGTGAGCAGGTACCCCGCCTCACTGTGTTGCAGTGAGCTGAACCGGTCAGTTGTCTTGTTGTTTTGTTTCCTTCCTGGGCAAACAGCCTTGACCCTGGCATAGTAAAGTTCAGTGAGGTTGCCGGTCTCCATAGTCAGGTTGCAGGACTTCTGGGTGGTCCTCTGGCAGCCTGCCTTGGCCAGCCACACTCTGTCTCCGTACCTGTAGGTAAGGGCAGGCAGGGTGCTGAGTGAATGAACAGCTCTGCTAGGACTGAGGTTTATTCATGATGATAAGGGCATCTGGTATTTACTCAGCATCAAGGTTATCTGTGTGGACACTAAGCTCAGCTCTCACAATAGTCCTTATAGGTAGAGGGGTGTGTGTTGTTCTCAAGGGAGAAAACGGAACTCTGAGGAGAAAACTGTGACCAAGGGTTTGAAGTGGGCATATGATGACCAGACAGAACCCTGCCAGCTTGAGTCCATATTCTGCTCCTTGCCACCCAACCCTTTCACAAGTGCCATGAGCCCTAACTCACAGGTGAGGAGACAGAGGCTCAGAGACAGGGAGCAACTTGCCACATGTTGAAATAGCAGGACCAAGAAGGGACCCGGGCTTTGTGAATGCAGAGTCAGGAGGGGGCTGGGTTGGATGAGATACCTGCCTCTTATACTCCACGCTGTAGACGGTGTCTGGAGAGCTATCTGGTCCACTGTCCCACACCAAGATGTTTTCAAAGTTCCTGGACTGGAATTTCACGTATTGAAGGGGACAAGCTGTGTCCTCAGTAGTACGAGCTGCAGGAGGCAGGAGCAGGGGGAGCCTGTGGGTTTGCAGACTGAGGACCCCTTCAAGGAGAGTGGCCCTCCATTCTCCAGTGCTGCTTCCTGCCTGCTTGGTGAGCTACGCTTACCCTCCATGACGTCCGCCATTTAAGTGTTCAGGTCACTGTCTTCTGAGATCATCCCTACCCCTGTGCAAATGTCACAACTACCTAATTCTAGAACATTTTCATTATCCACAAAAGAAACTACATATTTGGTGGTCTTAGCCCATCCCCCCACCGCCCTGGTTCTTGGCAATCACAAATCTCTTAGGATTTCCCAATTTTGGATTTTCATTTACTTTACACCCTGGCTTTTCCCCATGTCTGGCTTCTTTCACTCAGCAGGTTGTCAAGTTTCATCCACAACATGCATCAGTATTTATTTTTCATGACTGGATAATATTCCACTGTATGGACACACCCCAGTTTGTTTACCTATTATCAGTTGATGGACATTTAGATTTCCAGCTTTTATTTATTTATGTATTTTTACTATTTTGAATAATGTTGATGTGACCATTTGTGCTAAAAAATTAAGTGGACATGTGTTTCCAATTCCCTTGGGTATGCATCTAGCTAGAGTGCATACAATTTCACATATAATTCTCTTGGGTACGCATCTTGGTAGTGCTATAGCTCTATCTGTCTATCTATCTATTTATCTATCTCCATCCATCCATCCATCCATCCATCCATCCATCCATCCATTTATCTACCACAGTGCTGAGGATGGAACCCAGGGTCTCAGGCGTTCACTCTGCCACTGAGCCTTGGCCTTCTTTATTCTTAACTTTTGAGGGAATTATCAAGGGGTTTCCTAAATAGGCTACAGTGCATTAAATTCTACCCCCAGCAGTAACCAAGCTGTCAGACTTCTTTATACCCTTGTGAATACTTACTGTTTCATTCACTTTTTTTTTCTTGAGACATGGGTTTCTCTGTGTAGCCCTGGCTGTCCTGGAACTCACTCTGTAGACCAGGCTGTCCTCGAACTCACAGAGATCTACCTGCCTCTGCCTCCCGAGTGCTGGGATCAAAGGTGTATGCCACCACCGCCCGACCTCATTCACTTTTTAACACTGAGGCTGGCATCCTTATTCTTATTTTAGAGTTCTCCAGGTAGAAGCCTAAAGACAGCACGTGTCTGAAGTCAATCCTTTCACACAGTAGTGGAGAAGGTATTGTAAATTCTTTCCATGTCAGTCCCCACCTATTAGCCATGTTGCCTCCATGGACAGCAGAGACACCTTCTACGCTGAGGCCTTATAGGGGGCAGGATGCTGACATATGGACAAGGTCACCATGGGAGAAATTGTTTAAACAATTTGATCTTGTTTCTTTAAGTCTAGAATGGGGATAATTTGACTTACTTAGCAACAGATAATGATGACAACAACAGCAGCTGACACTTGGGAAGGGCATGCCAGCTGCCAGCCACTGGCCTAAAGCTTCTCCGCTCACTGAACACTAACCCTATGTGATAGTGACTACTGCTGTTCCCATTTTATGAATGAGAAAAACTGAGGCTCATCCAGGGCTATTAACCATTGCCACAGTTAGTGTTTTACAGGGTCCCAGGGCTACGTGGACTCAGGTGATCAGCACTTTATAAGACCTGCCTGTTCTGAGCGTAAGGGAGGGACTGGAAAAGCAGGAGCGTGTGTGGGAAGGAGCGTCCTCTTCCATCTCTGCTAAGTGGGGGTGTCAGTGGTCTGAGTCCTGGTAGGGACTAGTTCAAAGATGGAAGATGGGAGGAGAGAGAAGGACAAGAGACAAGTTAAGGAATTTGTGACAGAGGCTGGGGGTGTAGTTGAAAGACAGAGCAGGGTTTAACAGGCATGGAGGCACTGGCTTCAACCCCTAGTCCCCTAAACCTCAACCCCAAACTAAAAGGAAACCTGCCTGCCGGCCATTGTTTCTAGCTCAGGCATTTTGCTCAGCTTTAGACAAGGCAAAGGCTGGACAGGCTTGGGTCCCGGGGTGACCATGGAGGGGCTTGCTGCCTCTGAAGCAATGTCCTTGTCAGTGAAGAGCCTGTGGCTTACAGCACCCTCCCCTCAGTCCAGACCTGTAGTGAGGAAGATGTGGCAGATGATGGCGGCAGAGCTGCTCTGGCTCTGAACGTACTCAGAACAGCTTGGCTGGTGAGGGTGGGAAAGAGACAGGTGCAGCCAAGCTCAGCTCCCCGTGGAGGCCTTGAGGACAGATGTCTTTGATGTGTCTGTGCCTTCCTCCCCCACACCTGACTACAGCCACGAGAGGGGAGGGTAGCAATTCCTGCAGTCCAAGTCTACACGGTTCTTTCAAGAGGGACCTGTGCATTGCCAGGGGGAGGGTGGGCAGGCGATCAGAACAGCCCATCCCTGTAAATGAGGTCCCCTGGTCACACCTCCCTGAATCTGGGTCAGTCTGGGGCAGCAGCTGTGGTAGTCTTTGTTTTCCAGGCTTCCCCACAGTGTACACAGTGGGTCCTTGGGAACCAGTGTGGTGGCTGCGCTGCTGAGATGTGACTAACATTCTGCTTGGATCCTGGGCTGGGCAGATTCGAGGCTAATTCTAGTGTTCTCTGTTGAGGCTGGGTCTGAGGCTGGGAACGAGAGACCAGAAGGAGGAACACAGACTTAAGCAGTGGCTTCTGGGGGGACATGGGTTGAGCCGCATGCAGAAGAGAGAGAGAGTAGATTTGAGAGAAGGCTGGGGTCCGTCTGGGTGAGCTTAACCTTTCCTCCTGGTGGCTTAGACTCTGCTGCAGAGCAGGCTGCTGTGGGGGATAGTCCTGGGTAGGCTGTCTGGGCTGGGAGAGGCTGGGAGCACCCCAGATAAAAGAATTGAAGGGAAGCAGGGGTGTCAGGAACTGAAGTGGGCTTTCTGACATGGGCTAGGTGGTCTTGGCAGAGCCGCTCCTAACTTAGGGGCAGTGAGGCTGCTGTCTCCTCTTCTTTCCCTCTTTAAGTCCATTTGCTTCCCCCTCCCGCCCGGGTCATTCCCTAACTTCCTGGTTGAAAGTCTACATTGTGAAACCCGGGGAAAGGAGGAGATGTATGGTGGGGAGTCTGGCTGTCTGGCCACTTTATAAAAGACAGGTTTCACATTTGTGTGGAAAAACAATGTATCAGCTGGTGTGGGAGCGAAGGAAGAAACCACTGTGACCTGGAGCCAGCCTGAGAGCTGGCGTGGGAGCCTGTGTCTGAGGCTAAGGTTTCGGACTTGTCACCCCAGGGCTCCTTTCTGTGCCCCCACCCCCTTAAAGCGTCAGGAGATCCACAGCTCCACACCACAACTTGTGGGATGTCAGAGAACACGCTTTGGAGAATTGGAGGGAGGCGGGTGGTGCGTCCAATCTCCACAGCCTGCCACTGGCAGGATTGTGAGGAAGTCCTGCTGATGCTAAGGGCCTGTCTGTACTGTTTGGAGACAGGAGCCAGAGCAGGCTCTTTAGGGACCGAATTCTACACTGGGCAAGAAGGTCCATGAGACAGCTGGACCGCTTCCTTCCATCATGCCTGAGCTCCGAACTTCTGAGAATCCCTGGATTCCATTTCAGGAGAACAGACCAAGCCCCCATGTCATGTGAAGTTCTCATGAGTATGAACCCCAAAATTCCCTTTTTGGACTTCAAAGTGATAGTCCTTAGTCTTATTTATATGGGCACCCTGGTATGTTACTGTAGCCCTCCTGGCCACGCTTGGTTACTGGTCCGGCCTGAGTGGCTTGAGGAGCCATGGACAGAGGCGGTGGCCTAACTCCAGCTTTGTCTAGCCTGTCACCCCCTCCTTGGTGAGGAGCTGAACATGAAGTGGTACCCACCCCTAAACCAAGACTCTACCTACTGGCGGCTGGGGACTCAGCACCCCCAATTCAGACAGCTGGCCAATGCCTGCATACTTGAGGGTCAGTTGAGTCCCTTCGGGAAGCCAGGGTCTCCGGTACTCTATTGTCCCCTCCAGCTACCTGGAGTAGGCCATCTATCTCTGTCTCCAGGAAAACCCGGCACCCAGTCCAGTGCCAGCAAGGAAGAAAATGAAACTGGACGTTATGAGGCTCTTGGGGCAGGAGGAGGCAGATGTGCTCCCTGGCTTTTGGGGGAGGGGGAGTTGAGGGCAGGTTAGGGAGCACTCACCGGCTAGGGATCCCACAGCTAGGAAGGTCAGTAGTGTCTTCATTGGGTCCTGCCAAGGGCCCCTTTGGGCCTCGGCTCTGGACCCTGGAAGGAGGCTGGGCTCTGGGTGAAGTCTTGCCGCTTTGGCCGCTGGCTCCGCCCGCCCTGGGGCGGGGGG